CGAATATTTGTTGATTCGAGTCCGTGGAGAGAGGGATCAGCTCTGAACTTTGTGATATGGAAATAGCTAAAGCTCTCTGAAGCTACTGGGTTTTTCCCCGGTTATAGGTGTTCTTTTAACTTGTGGTGTGATTTGATGAGAATTGTGGTATGCTTCATATGACTTGTGATATGCTTTGATAAACTCGTAATGTGTTTTTTTTAGACTTTTATCTATTTCAAGGAACTTGTAATGTATTTGAATGTACTTGCGCTATATTTTCCCTTCCCCACCCTTCTCCTTCCCTAACACCAAGCGTGCCCCTATACCCCTTCCCTATTTACGAGAGCAAGTGTTTACATCATGCTTAAAAAAAGTGTTAGCATTCTAAGTTCTAACCCCTCCCCTATTATATGTCCTATTTTTTCTTTTACATATGTTGTGCATGCTCTTGATGCATTCTTTTCACACAGGAATTTTTCTGAATAATTAATTTCAGGCAACAAAGGTCTGTGCGGGGCCCCACTACACCCATGCTCCGCCCCTCCGCCGCCACCTCAGCCGCCGCCGCCGTTCTTCTTCCTCCCCGCTGCCGAGGCCAGGCTCACGAACCTGACGCTGGAGATCATCATCATCCTCCTCGTCCTCGTCATCATCCTCATCGCCACCATCCTGTGCCTCCTCCTCCGCCACCGGCGCAAGCACGCCGCCAGCCGCCAGCTGGCGCGGGACTCCTTCACCAGCGGGAAAGTCATCCTGACGTCGGCCCCCGCCGTGCGGGCCGTGCAGCGCGAGGAGGCCACCCACGTCAGCAGCGCCTCCGTGGCGGCGGGGGCCCACGCGCAGGCGCGGAGGGCCGACCAGGCGAACCGGCTGCTGTTCCTGAGAGACGACGTGGAGAGGTTTGATCTGCAGGATCTGCTGAGGGCGTCGGCGGAGGTGTTGGGGAGCGGGACGTTCGGCGCGTCGTACAAGGCCGGAGTGGTCGGGCAGGCGATGGTGGTGAAGAGGTACCGGCACATGAACAACGTCGGGAGGGAGGAGTTCCACGAGCACATGAGGATGCTCGGGAAGCTGAAGCACCCGAACTTGCTGCCGTTGGAGGCTTACTATTACAGGAAGGAGGAGAAGCTTTTGGTGTCCAAGTTTGTTGACAAGGGAAGCCTGGCTAGCCACCTTCACGGTGTGTATGACAATTCACTTTATTCTTTTTTTCCTTTCACACACACGCCCCCCACTAAAACTTCGTATAAGCTTTCTCCCAACAATTCGAGTTATTGGGATCAGTTTAATTTATGACGCGCGTGGTATCAGAGTTTGTTATAAACCAACTGGTACGCCAATAACGCGCGAGTTGTTGGAAGAGGTTCGTGTATGGATCTTAACCACTTTCTTACACTGAGACCAGCTGCTGGGATGGTTAAAAATCTATATAAGGATTTCTTTCAACAATTTGACTTATTGGGATCGGTTGGTTCATGATCATGATATCTGAGTCGTTATAAACCAGCTAGTTCCAATAACTCGAGTCGTTGAAAGAGATTCATTTATGGGTTTTAACCAACTTTTTTATAAGGGTGACATAAACTTATTTTATAGTTAGGTGTTACTGAATATATTTGAACCCGGACCTCCAAGTTCAAGACCACTAGGTAGAGGTGGGCATATGGTTCGGTAAAACTGAACCGAACCGAATAAATGTTATTCGGTTCGGAATTCGGAAGAGAAAAGGGCATATTTCGGAAACCAATGTCCTTTCGACCGAACCAAATTTTCGAATTCCGAACCGAAAAAACCGAATATTATAATTGCAAGCTCCAAATGGTGGATTTTTATGTTTCTACTTATTATGAGACTTAAATATTTGAATCATGTTAGTGTTTTATGACTTATGTGTTGAAATGTTTGATTTTATAATTGATGATGCATATTTATTGTTTACATTAGAGGTGAAAAATAATTCAAAAGAGAGAAGATACAATCTAACCTCACAAGTTCGGTTTTGTATGAAAAATCGAACTGAACCGAATTATAAGTCAGTTTGAACCGACCGAACCGAATTATAATTCGGTTCGAATTCGGTTTGAGGTTTGATAAAATTCGGGAACACGGTAAAATGGCCACCCCTACCACTAGGACCAAACCCTTGTTCGCAATTTTAACTACTTTCTTACATGGAGACCAATTGGTTTATGCATGATATCAGAGATGATTTATCCTTCATGTCACGTGTCCAAATCCCGACGACCCCCTATATTAACCGTTGTCTTAAAGTACATGGTACAGAGGGTCTGTGCAACATTTGAATGGACGTGTAAGGAAGTGGGTAAAATCTTTATGTGGATATCTTCCAACAACTCGAGTTATTAGTACCAACTGGCTTATGACATCTTGTCAAGAACCAATAACTCGAGTTGTTGAGAGAGATTTAATAATGAATCTTATACCACATACTAACACACGTCCAACGAAAGTCACTCGCGGATGGGTTGAAGTTTGTACATATATTATAATGCATTGTGCTTAACAAATGAGATCTTCATATATAATTCGAACAAAAGACATATTGGTCACAGAAGACTCTGATATCATGTTTATTTTTCATGTAGGGAACCACTCGTCGGAGCAAGGGCTGGATTGGCCAACCCGAGTAAAGATCATCAGAGGGACAGCAAAGGGCTTGGCATACCTCCACGACGAAATCCCACTCACCGTCCCACACGCCCACCTGAAATCCTCCAACGTCCTCCTCGACGAATCCTTCGAGCCCATGCTCACCGACTACGCCCTCCGGCCGGTGATCAACTCCGACCACGCCCACAAGCTCATGATCGCCTACAAGTCCCCGGAGTACGCCCAGCACGGCAAGACGTCGAACAAGACCGACGTGTGGAGCCTCGGGATCCTGATGCTGGAGATCCTAACGGGGAAGTTCCCGGAGAACTACCTAACGTCGGGATACGACAGTGGGTCGGACCTCGGGACGTGGGTGAACAACATGGTGAAGGAGAAGAGGATGGGCGAGGTTTTCGAGAAGGACATGGCCGGGACGACGAAAGACAGCAAGAGCCAGATGATCCACTTGCTGAAGCTCGCGTTGAGCTGCTGTGAGGAGGATCTGGAGATTAGGGTCGACGTCAAGGAGGCGGTCGAGAAGATTGAGCAGTTTATGGATGATGTATGATGGCGCATTTGAAAAGAGAAAAAGGTTACAACTTTTGTACGTGTTTGTGCATGGTGCATGACATCGATCGAAAAGTACTAATGGGCAATGTTTGTATAGGAAGGGGGGAGATGATTGCGTTGATTGGTTTTGGGGATAATTAAGAAGATGGTGGTGGCGGGATTTAGTCAGTAGAAAATTGGGTTGTTTGTTTTTGTTGGGGATTTCGGACTTTGGAATATGGTATATTGTATCGGTGGTCTGATACTGCTGCGTACAATCTCTGGTACGGTTTTATGGTCCTTACTTGGGAATGTGTTTTAGAAGGAGGGCAAATTTTTTTAGTTAGTGTATCATATCTTAAATTCTATCTCTATGTACATATCTTAAATCTTATATCCATGGAGAAATTGTTGTCCATATGTATCCTTAATGTTTATTGATTTCTTTTTTTTTTTTAATTTGAGTGAAATTTTGTGGAATTGTTCAGTACCATGTTCCGATCTCGAGCATAAGGATGAAACATGAGATACTTACTACCCACCCAAAATTATGGAACTAATACATAAGAGGATGAAATTACGGTTTGGTTGCCATCAATTACATTTAATACTTTATTTTTTCATTTAATTACCCTCCATTCCATTGACAAGTTACAATAGACTCCTTAGCTGTGTATATCGAAAAGGATTTGCTTTGCAACATAAGTGATGAATGTATTTTAGAGACATTTCAGAACATGAAAAGTCGTTGTGGTTCGTTATAAACATGACATTGTGAACTTTAATGAATTCATTTCTAGTAATTTCTACTTAGTTTTTATTAATTTTTTTAATTATTTTCCTATTTTATCGGCAACACACCTCTCCAACAATTCCGGGTCCGCCACTGGGTGTTCAAACGGATTGGTTACCGTGGTAACCATATTAACCTGTAGCATTCGGTTAATTTGGATAATTGGATTGGTTTGGTTAAACAATTTAGCTTATTTGGTTTAGGTGGTTTGGTTTCAGCACTGCTAAGTGCTAACCAATGAAACCAATTAGCCAAACAATGATACACCTAATATACAAAATTATTTATACTTCCATGCAACCAACCGAACCAAATTTTCGTGATTCCCTATTTTATTTCCATGTGCACAACAAATCAAAGCATTATGGCTCAAAAATTAAATGGGTCTACCTATTTACTAAACCAAAACATTTTGGATAGCTACTAGACTTTTTACGTACAATACCATGACTTGACAGTCACCTCAAACTATATATAGTTTTAAGTGTTTTGTGGGAGAGCTTTAACTTCCTCATGAATGGTATTGGTATGTATTTAATATTTATGTTAAGGGTTTGTTGTAAGCTAACTATATTAGGTGCAGAGATGATGAATGATGCATTAACTCGAATGATGATGATTATCATAATGGTTAGTCTTATTATTATTGCTTATACATAATGATAGTTTATGATAGTAATAACATATGATTATGTTTTAATCATTAACAGGATAATTATTTTCATGTAATGTTATGCTATTTGGTTAATCCGATTATCTGATTAACCAAACCAATTAAACTTTGGTTTGGTTAATATGGACGGTTTGGTTAAGATATTTTATTCCATGGTTAATGAAATTTTGGCTTAGTTGGTTTGATTATTACCACGCTAACCATTTGGACACCCCTACTTGCAAATCAAGAAATCATGATGGTCATGAGTACCTTTATGTTTGCGTAATGCTACTTGTACGTTTTGAACTGCTATGAATGACATTTTGAGGCGGTTGCAGAGCAAACATGTGCTGAGGTTTTCGTTTAATGTATCTCGAGTATAGTCAGTTCCAACTGAGCACAATATCTCCACACTTGAGAGAGGTGTTCTTGGGCTAAACAAGCACATATGGCATTCATACATAAAGTTTGTACAATTAAAAGGGCATGTCCAGTTTCTCTTTCAGTTCAAACTGCCAAAAGAAAAACTGTGAGGAAAAGAAAAGAAAGTGAAGCAAATCTCAATCCAAACTTCTACTACTTACAAGGAAGAAACCCTCTCCCCCAAACCCAAAAATCCATCCAAAGAATCCTAGATAACAGCATACAACATGTCATTGGCATACATACAAACAATCCAATGGACAATGCAAAGTAGCTTCACAGATTACCTACTACACTACTCTTTTCAGAATAGCTAGCCAATGGATGATCAACATTGGTTACAATGGAGTTCCAACCTCAGCAGTCACTTCTTCTTCCCTTTCCACGCGACTTCTTTTCTTGCACGCTTGTTTACAGACCTCGACGATATCTTCTTCACCACTGCTGGGGCCTTGGAGCTTTGCTGATGGAGTACGTGACAATGCTGCTGCTGATTCAGCTTTGGACTCGTCGGCAGACTGTGGTTGTGGTGCGTCAGCAGAGGAAGAAGTTGGTTGCAGCGGTCCCTCGCACTCTTGAGATGGAACATCAGTGGTAAGTGATGCTGCTGACGGGGTTTTTGGAGACAGTAATGCAGTGCCAGCTTTGTGCTGCTCCTCCAAGATCTTTTCCAGGTATCTTGCGTGTTCCTCGATACGTAGCTGAAGGGATCTTTGTACCTATGGCAAGAACAAAAAATGGAGAAAAAGGAGAAAAGTCTTCATCAAGGTTCACCAGAACACGCAGAAATCCAGTTCTTCATTCTTCCTTCACTCTAGAAGACCAATATACAGACGGTTTCCCATTATATCCAATATACTGATAGTTAAGTTAATGAGAAAGTTCTGCTAAGAAAATAACTGACTTCTGAAGAAAGGTTTAAACTTTTGATGGATCATCATACAAAATGTCGTCAACAACTAATGCTTATTTCGTATTAGCAACTGATGTGATCGAAACTTCATACCTCTAGCTGTTCGTGCAGCTGCTTCTGAACTTCAATTTGCATGCGCAAAGCCTCAGAAATTTGAAGGGTCCTGTCATTGAGGGAAATGGAAATGGAACAGAACATAAGTACAGATGAAAAACCAACTAGGTGGAATATTCTCTCGTTCTTCTTCTCCTCTAATCTCTCCTTATCAGAAAGAAAAGATAATCACCCCTTTCGCCGCCCATCAAATTCAAGGCTTCCTAAAGCAGGTTTCTTGTCTTCAGGGCTGGAAGGCTTCTTTTCTGCAGACATGAACAGGAAGGAAAATTAACCAAAACCCACAAGTAAAATTTTTTACCAAGGGAATCCGAATCTCAGATACAGGAGGATCAATATGCAATAAATCTAACAAGAGAATCATGCACAAATGAAAAATAAAAGTTCAATCACAACAGCCACAAGACTGCAGTTCTTGTGCATGTACTGAAGATGGCTCCTGCAAAACGTGTGCCGCTGAAGGTGATCAATCAGGCAAAAAAGGATAGCTACAGCAGCACCAACAGAGCTTTTATCACTTCCCCCAACCATAAATGCCTTGAAAAGGTTCAAGGAAGAAAAACACTTTTAAGAGTTACTCCTAAAAGAGATGGCATGCAATGGCTCATTTGTAGATTATACAAGTCAGTGACTAAAAGTAATGCATAACCAGATATAACATATCATCTAGTAGTTATTAATTAATACATTACAAATATTCTGTAACTGCCTCTAACTACTGCTGATTCCGGTCCTACTAGTCTCTTCAATCCACCATTAATACCTCGCGTTGCCATATATTTGATTCCATTCTTTGCATTGGGTCGGATTAAAAAGGATAACAGCCAAGAGAAAGAAGTTTAGAGTTCCCACACGTGTACAACTAGTTGTGAGCATAACCAAAGAAAGGACACCAAATGAATGACCAAAGAAGCAGGAAATGCGAATCTATTAGATAAAACCAGTTCGGGCAGGTGATGTTGAAACACAGAAGACTGCAACAAATGAGAAGCATAATTGAAAGGAAAGTGCACTATTTATCATCACTCAAGTCCGAATGGGTTAAAGCCGAATGGGTTAAGTACCTTCTTTTTTCTCGGGCAAATACTTGGCAAGGCGGTATTTCTGCATAAACATCAATCAAGACAGAGAACTTTCTGAGACAGAAACCTAAATGCTTTGCAATCCAACAATTAGACCAAAATGAAAATGCATGGCAAGATCTTAATTTGAGTAAGTACCTGTAAGTGGCTTTTCACATGATAAATGGTTAAACCGCTCACATTCATTAGCTTTAATACACCCTTCGGCGTAGCCTCTACAATCCAAAACAGACATTTGAGCCTCAAATGGTCCAGAATATAAATATATATTCAGAAAAAAAAAGCTTTCTTGATACCGTTTGTTGTTACGAATAGGAAGCGAACACAAAGCTGACTAATAGAATAGGCAACATGGATAACTTACTGTCAGCTCCATCAAGCTTGTTCACAGCTGCTAGAAAGCTTTCATGCAGCTCAGGTGTCCACCTCATTCTTGGTTTGTGAGCAGAAGCGCCCATGGGAGAGGGTTGACCAGAAAGCACATCAACTGGTGGCCCAGCAGAGATAAGGTTTTGATTGGACGTCGTAACTGTGACTGGTTTTGATAAGGTTTCAGGTGTTTCATATATATCCTGCATAACAGTAATATCCAGTGAAAGGAACCTTTTAGCAGTGTGATCGTGTAGTAGCTCACCTAGCTGTGTGCTCATGTAATCCTAAGTCACCCATCTCCACTCCCACACTACAACCCTCAATAACTCTAATTGTCAAACCACAAAATGAGCAGAATGCACAAGTGGGCGGTCCTGGTTTAAGACTTCACGCCTTCTTAAGTTCAAAGTGAAAACAGAGAAAATAAAAGATAAGTCACAAAAGAAGCACAATGTACTTACATCGAGTCTTGGATTTTCACCATGGTCCGTGATAGCAATGTCAAGTTCATCAGACAAAAACTGTAACTCCAACTGCTCTGTAAACTCCGAAGCACCACTTGCACAACTCACACCATGAAAGCTGCCTTCAGAAGTGTCTCCCGCTAAGTTAAGAAAATCCTTCATGAATGCATCAGATTGATCCTCGTCATATGTGTTGCTCACATCCTCGCTGAAAAGCGGTGGAGATTTTGTTGAAGCAACACCTGAAATTGATAGGCTGCAAGCAGGGGGGAGTGGGAGAAAAGGAAGCTTCCCCAACTGTCGGCCTGCCTCGGAGCTCAAAGAAGAAGTCGATGATGAGTACAAACTGGTGCAGAACATAGAGGAGCGCTGAAATGTGCTCTTAGAATGGTGGACCTGAGAACCAAAAGAAAGAGGGCTATCTGGTCCAGATTTTATGTTATATGTTTCAGGTTCTGCAGTTGATAAACGCAAGCCGTTGTGAGAGTTGAGGGAGTCTGTTCGTATGAAAGGGGATGAACGAGAGGATGAGCATTCATTTGTCAGTGCACTATTGCCATCAGATTCAGCACCAAAAAAGTTGTGAATGGGAGAGAGCGGTGAGCAAAATGGACCTGTGACACCTCCAGGAGAATCAGTCTTCATCAGAGATACAACAGCTTGGCTCTTCATAATGGTATGTCGAGAGATAATCCACCACAGAGAAAGAAGAATCTTCTTTTCCAACAAAAGTTATCAGGCAAAGGCCTGCTGTATGTGAACTGACTTGAGTGAACTTGGATGTTGCAAATATTTCAACTGAAAGAAAGAAACTCTACAGCATTGCCATCAACACACAATCCTTGGAAGCCGAGGATAACTCTACCTCCACAGTTGTACTCCTTCGAATCTCTCCACAAACCGAACCCCACTGTTAAACCATACATCTGCTGTTCATTGCCCTTTATGACAAGTACCGACGGTTTACATCCCTGCAACTATAATGAAGCTTCAACAGCTTGAGAATATGCATAAAATCCGCTCCATTGAGGTAGCATAGAAGCATCTATAACCGGATAGTGACCTAAATAAGTAGTGAACAACTTGGTTTCCAGTAACCTGTAAGCAAAAGAAGAAGTTTGTTAATCAAATTTGAAAAATAAGGAAAAAATCGGCTAACAAGTTACTGAATTTTTCAGCAACATATGGGTACACACACAAATTGATCCCCCCTTTCCAATTCTAGCAAGCATATCTTGTAGATAACAGATCCATTGCTTGGGAAATACTCAATTGGTTTGTGTCAGTAAAACATACTTATGATCCCCCCATGAACAGTGAGGGAACTCTTTTAGAACATATCATCGAAAGTGAGCATTTCTAACTTCTAAATTGAACACACCACAATAGTTCCAAAGTCCAGGATGCATGTGTAACTGCTAAATCTGTCATCAACCCCCATTTTAGAGGGAACATCAGCATGATACTATTCAAATCCTCAGTTTCCCTTCTGTTTCTGTGCAGAGAACATGGGTATGGGAAAAAAGAGAGGAGAGGATGCTATTCCACAGTAACCCTTACTGCAGAGCCAGCAAACAATTCCCCCCCAACCTTTACCAACATGAAATCAGGTATGGTGTTCCAAACCAAACTTCCCATTTTGCATCTTTCACCTCTCAATCCGAATCTAGTTGGGAAATAGACTTCCATCAACATAATGGTTGCAGAGATTTGAAACCGAAACCGCACCCTTTGTTTTAAAAACAGAAAAGACTGCAGGAATTCAAAACTCCACCCTTTGAGTTCTTTCTTTTTCCAAAAAGATCCCACCTTTGAGCTCATATTCCCCAGTCAACAGCCTCAAACATCGCAAGAAAGTAAAAAACAAACGTGTCCCAAAAAAACGCCATAGGAATATGTACTATTGATATGCCAGCAGAGAGTAGGAAGAATTGATTCCACATAGAGGAGAGACAGAGTGGGTCAAAACTCAAAAGGGTAGTGAACTGAAGTTGAACAGAGACGGATAAGACTGACAGAGGCGGCGAGAGAGAGAGAGAGAGAGAGAACCAGGTAGGTAAGTCACACCCATGCCATGAATGAAAGTAGAAAACAAACTGGGAACAAGAAAAGGAAGAGCTGGTGGCTTCATTCTTCATACCTTCTTATCCGATGTAGGAGATGAGAGATCTCTCTCGCAGCAGCAAGCAGATAGAGAGGGAAAAGGGGGAAAACAGAGAGACACGCGCTCGTTCGTCAGACAATGAGGGAGCCAGAGAGAGATGGGGGTTGCTGCTGGTGCGGCTGCTTTGGGGCTTCGAATCTCAGCATTAAACTACCATTATTGGTAGGTTTCGGATAATTTCATCAGCAACTTTCAGGAATTAATTAAGCAAGTAATTACCCAGAAAGAGGAAAAGGAGAAAGGAAGAAGTTGATTACTAATTTACGTCAGGAGGAGGAGGAGTACTGGTGTACTACGTAATTAAAATTCGGGCAAGAATCCAAAAGTGGCCATTGTTGTCATCCGCCATGACTGGCTGCTCTTCTTCTGTAGTGCTGTTGGGTTCTGCTGAAAGAGACTAATTTTTCCTTTTCTTCCACAGTTTTTTGTATCCCACGATTTTGGAAAAACTTTTAAAACAAGGAGGAAACAGAGCAGAGCAGAGAAAGAGAAGAGGGCAAACGGACGGCGAGAAGATTCAACAGAAACAGTGCGTCGTCGTCTCATTCTCTCCGCCCACTTGGGGATGCGATGGCCGATGAGGTCATCTGATCTTTACATGGTTTCCTTTCCCCATCCACGCGCTTCGTTAGCATCCGCTCCCACGCTCCTTCTCTTCAACCACAAGTCCACAACCTCCCTTTCAAACAGAGTCGAGTATTGGATTTTTTTTTTGTTGGGTTGATGCTTCAATTTGGTCTCCATTTTACCATTTCGAACATGATATTTTTTTCGGTTTGGATCTATACTCATATGGAATTTGTTTTGGGTTGATCGTTTGACTTTGCGAGCTAGTTGGTCAATGTTCGTCTAGTCAAATCGATACCTCTTGGTTGACTCGAATTTGCATTGAAACTAGAGAGGAACGGTTCGGTTAACTCGGTTTACTTGACTAAATAGTTAAAAACTTATAGATTCGAAAGTGCTTGATTAAGTTTGCGCATATTGAATTTAAAGTTAGGCACGAGAACCCCCTTAATCCTTATGATGACCAGTTACGAGTTGGGCTTCGAGCTTCGAGGCCGGTCGTCAAATGATTATTATTGTTGTTATTATCAATTATTATTTGAGCATTATTATATAATAATTATTTTATTAAAATATAATTATTGTTATTATCATAGATTGATTTATATTTGTATTATTTTGTGATAATATTTAATAAATTTGACAGCTTTATTTTATAATAATATAATTACTTACCTTTTCACTTTATTTGCACTCGCTACTTTTTCAGCCAAACAACAATTTACCCCTCCACTTACACCCCCATCAAGTTGCACCCCAGCAATTTACCGCTCAACTTGCACCCCACTTGTTGCCAAACACAGATTAAGAAACTCACAACTTGACACAAATGAAAGGATTTGGTTCGGTGGCGTCACTACAATTACAATTAATACTAATTATGATTAGGATGTCAATAATGACAGCATTAGCCATGATAATAACGATGACAGCCATCCTACAAATCCTATATAGAGGTTCTCCTTCGGGAGCCCCTTAATTTCACTTTTTCTTGCTCCAGCGCATAGCAAGGAAGGTGCATTTGGTAATTTCATTTTAATTTTTATATGGGCCTTAAGAGTTAAGACTATGGCTACCTATTTCCAGGCCAGCTTGCTATATACGGGCTATAATTCACATGTCCATGCAATTTATTTCATTTTAATTCTTATGGGCCTTAAGACTATGACTACCTATTTCCAGCTTGCTATATACGGGCTATAATTCACATGTCCATGCAATTTCTTATTATTACACACGCTATCTCTTAATATGCATTTACTCGAGACACTTGCCAAGTGCAAGGTGCAATAAACCCAACGTTTTCAGAAGCGCATAGGATGTTGAACTGAAAAAGTTAGTGATAGATGCTTCAACGGTTAAACAGTATATAATTTTAGGTTAACCGTTGATATAATCGTTCATACGATATAATATAAAAGACATATAACACATTAATTTATGAGTGAATTCATTACTACCCATAAAAAATTACAAATTAATATCATCTATCACAAAAAGTTCAAACAAAGCATTCAAACCATATCACAAAAAAAAAATCATAAACCATATCACAAAAAAAAATCATAATTTTTTTCTTATATTAAAGTCGATAATAAGAGTGACAAAACATAGTGAACAATACAAATCCAACAAGGAGGTTGAGAAATAAAAATATAAAGCATAAATAAAATTAGTGATTCAGGTTGGATAGTCTTAGTTTACATTAACGTACTTTTTCCCTTAATTTTGTGTGGTTAAAATAACGAACCGGTGCATGAGTTGAACCATGGTGTTCATGGTTTCATGTCAATCCGTTAAAACCCATTTGGTACATCTCTAACCGTCCAATCAAATGAAACAAAATGCTATTGGCCAACCGTTGATCCGGTTTGATTTTTACATGAAGAAAACCGATAAAAGAATCTTTAAAGCCTAAATTTAGTGAACAAGAAGAAATTCAAAATTTTAGAAAGATTACCTCATCAATTCATTAAAAATTTATACGGCACATAAATAGCTAAATTACTTAATTAAAAATGAATACTAAATAAAAGTGGCATTACCTTGCAATTGCATTTATGCTATTCCCACCCAACACACCCATCCCTTCACAGTTGATTATCTGTTAGCTTATGAATTATTTCATATATTCTTCCATTGTCATTGCTCTTTTACTTTCGCAAGCACATCCTTATTCAAATGTTGTTGTTTTTACTAAATTTAGTATAATTTTCATACTCACTATCCAATTGCAATTGTATCAGTGTTATTATGTATTGGTAGTAGCTATAAATTAATCGGTTCACGTATATTCATGGTTTTGTGCAAGGATTCAATTGTATTTAAGTGCTATAATCCTTCAAACGTTGTTTCCATATTTACTTTCCAAATTTTACTAATCACACACTCAAGAATTAAGATTTAGCTTATTACATATTTCTTAAGTTAATCTGATATTCATTGTGAAACAAAAAACAAAAATTTGTTTCACTGTTGTTTTAATTGGAAGTTAGTCGGTATGAAATCCAAGTTGATATCCGATCTCACAACTTAAAAAAGGAGTTGTTTCGAGAAATTGGTTGTTAATTGATCCCAAGATGGATATTATTCTTTGTCTCTATACGATAATTATTGACTTAAAGTGTAAACTAACAACAACCATGTGAATTCAACTCTATGATTTTATTTTTTAAACATTATTAATATTCCTACTTTTTTCTTCAAGATAATAATATTTGAGTGAAAATTCCCAAAGGGAAAATCAATGACTTTCGTCCCCGTAGGTTACTAGAGAGTTTACACTATCAAGAGTTTATGGCAAGTATGGCAATGGCTTACAAGCCAATTCTAAACAAATTGGTCTCAAGTTTGAATCAATACAGAAGCCGAAGCATGTGATGATATTCCAGCCATACCAACTTACAAGTTTAATTTCATCTAACAAGATGAGATTGACAAGAAGTGCAACTAAAGAAAATTTCTTTCAGTTTTGAATTACTATTCTCAATTCAAATTTACTTCATTCTAATGTGTATACAACCAAAAACATTAATTAAAATTTTAAAATTTTCATTCCACAGATGTTGTTGGCCAGCTTATTCAATATTCGGGTTTATTGATATCTAACACTCACTAGAAATATTACCAGCAATGATGCTCCAACTAAAACTTATCGAGTGTTTAATTCTTTTTATTTTCAGTTTAAAATAGCACGCATTACTTTAACTCTAATCGAAAATCTAATATACAATTTGGGTGCAGGGGATTGATTATCAAGGTAAGTCTCTTTGATAGGATAGTTACCCAATTAAGTGTCGTCCTTGCAAATGCGGCTAACCGCCCTCTCATCTTGGTCATTACGTCATTATATGTCGTTCCATACAACAATAACGAAACATCTTTATTACTTTGTTATTACTAATCAAACCATTTTTAAGTAAAGATGGCATTTAGGGGTCGTTTGGATGGATCAATTTAGAAATGAGTCAATTTGATCAATTGTCTCGTTTTATAAACGAGGCAATTAAAACGAGTCAATTCGAATTACCTGCCCCCACCCCAGGTAATTGAAATTGACTCAAAACGGATCAATTGAAAATACCTCAGGCAGATTGATCCATCCAAAATTTTTGCTGGCAAACGAGGCAATTTGGTACAATTGTCTCAAAACGAGACAATTGTGTCAAATTGATCCGTTACAATTCCTCATCCAAACGACCCCTTAATTATTTGTTTTTTTTTTGTTGTTGTAAAAAAGTGAATGAGATTGACCAACTCTTCCTGTGAAAAGAACGAAAGCACCTCAACAGCTAATTTCAACCAAAATCGTGCAAATGCTAAATTTGTTAAAAATGAAGGATGGAGAAGAGGTAAGTATCAAATTGATTTAACGACCCATTAACTATCAAATGCTAATATTTCATGTCATATGTATTCCGTCAATCAAAAACAAAGTTGTCAAAGTTAAGAAGGGTGACATTAAGCCGGATGTGAAACCGGCCAACAGAAGTATCAGTTTCTATTATTGATTATGTCATTACTATAATTATTCTTATTGAAGATCCACCTTCGAGTTGTGGACAAAACCACTGAGGCTAACTTTTGTTGTTATTGATTGAGAAGGGAGATGGATTTTTCAGAATGCCAATTAAAAGGATATTTGAATACACCGATAGAATGAGAGGATTATCAGCTGCTCATCTCTTACAAATTGAGGGAATGATATTGAAGTTTGATATCAAGTTCACATATTACATCAATAATCAAAAAGTGAGTACACCATTTCCAAGATAGGGAAGGATAGGATTCAGACGACCTTCCTGACTTGATCGAGGTAAATATTACATATGAAAGTGATGACCAATATTAATTAGGGTAAATACAATATATTAGCCACAATTATTATGAAGCGGGAAATTATAGCCACAACTATGAAAATTCAAATTATTAGCCATAACTATTGCTATGGGTCAAGATATGGCTAACTGTCCGTTACTATTAAAATTTTTTAACAGAGAACGCCACGTCATCGGCCACGTCGGACTGCTTTTAATTCATAACTTTAAAACATAAAAATTTAGTCAGTATTACTAACGAAATTGTGAACAGATAATTAACGTTTGACTAATAATTTGAATTTCCATAGTTGTGGCTATAATTCCCCGTTTCATAATAGTTGTGGCTAATATATTGTATTTACCCTATTAATGACAAAATTGTGATATTCTCTATTGGATTTGGAGTATATTTGGAACATGCGCCCTCTGATTATTATTTAACAAACCTGTCTACCAGGTCTACTTTTCACATGTTGATTTTGCAAGGCAATTAATTGTGCATATCATCCAGTAAATAAATTGCTATCGACGGTATACCATGTGTAAATTATACTTAGTTAGAAATTCAGTATATAGTTTTTCAAATTTTATATCATGCACAGATGATAGTCAGTTGTATTCTTTAACTTTGACAAACGTATTTAATTGTATGACTTAAAACTCAAGAGGAACTTTCGTTTATTACTCACAATCATGCATGCATTTGTATACTCGGTTGTATTATCAAGTCTATACGTCTTCAATTATTATACCATGTTCAAATATACGCCTTCAATTTTTAAACCATGCACAAA